CGCCCCGCCCTGCGCGCATTTTATCCTTGTTCCAGAGAAGGAGAAACGGGACAGCCAGGTTATCATCGACACTCTGCGGGACACGCTGGAAGAACGCAACGCCACTGTGGAATCTCTGCAGCAGGCCTTAGGCAAGGCTGAGATGCTATGCTCCACACTCAAAGTAGGTCCCTAGTCTTGTGGGCAGAGTTGATGGGGAGATATAGTCCTGGTCCTGGACTCACCATTTTGGGCTTATCTTCTGGTTCTACCTCAGTCAATAATTACACAGTTATAAAATGGAAGCAAATTACTTCTTTCCCAGGCCCTCCCATACTATACTCATCTAGTCTATAAGAAAATGACCGTACTTGCTGTGCTCATGGGTTTTGCACTAGGTCGTCTGGAGAAGCGAGGCCCTGCCAGCACTTCACAGAGGGGTTGTTCAACTAAGACCTCGGTGAGGCTGGGCCATGTTTCCAAAAGTGGTTCGTATGCCACTGATGAGGCCAGCCTGAAGAACCTTCTGTTAGCACTCTAGTCCTTGGCTGGGCTGCTCTCCAGAGCCAGATCAAACAGCATCCCAGGGAGAAGCAAGCGCTTTTGAAGTCAGCCATGCTGAGCTGACCGAGCAGATCAAAGACTGCAGAGCAAACAGCCCTAGACCCAGATGAATTTTATATCAGCCTGGGTTGGTGAGCCTCTTGCTCTCCAAGGGGCATGAGGCGATTGATCTGAACCCATGATTGATATTCTGGCCTTGTAGGCAAGAGCAGTCCTTGCTGGATGCCATTTGAAAGGGAAAGGGAACCATCCTTGTGGACAGACAAGGCCCCAGGATATTCATTGTCTCTGTTCCTGTTGGATCAAATGGCCTGGATGGTGGGAGAGAGCAAACTAGCACCTGGTTGCAAAGCAGGAGTCTCTGATGGCATTCTTAGGTCAGAGATGGAGTGGTCTTGTGCTGAAGGTAGCATTGCCAGCTGCCCTGGCTCAGCTCTCCTATCCTGCCAACTCTTCTTAGGTCTGATGGTGGATGATGAGGTCTGGGTTTATGCTCTGAACTTCTTCAGCTGCCTGAACAACCTGTACTATGAAGCCCAGACCACTGGACCTTGGTAGCCCACAGTGGGCCTGTAAATACTGGCAGTGGGCTGTACCTATGGTAAGATATATCTCAGGAGGAAGCAGTCAGGGAGATAAGGAAACAGCTGGTCTAGAGCCTCTTAGCAGAAAAAGCACAAGCCAGAGTGGGGCCCAAGGAGCCTTACCTCCTGGGGTTTGGAGATGTGGTTATCAACGTTTTCAAGAGCTAAGGTACAGACAGTTGTAGAGTGGAGTTTTTGCAGTGACTTTAGCCATGGCTCCTGAGAGCCTCCAAGCAACAAGTATGGATGTATTTGCTCTTCAGAAGCAGATGAAGTATTTGGAGCAGCAACAGGATGAGACCAAACAAGCACGGAAGGAGGCCCGCCGACTCAGGAGCAAGATGAAGACCATGGAGAAGTGAGTTTGGAGCTGGGTCCTGCACTGTTCCTTTGTACCCAAGGCCCGCAAGTTGTATAGCTCTCAGGGCTGCCGTGGGGAGTGGGACTGGGTCACCTCTGTGGCGCAAATCTCCATAGGCCATGGAGGGCTCAGGCCAGCTGGGTATGGGCGCAAGTCTTCTTGCTTAGCTGCTATGGACTCTTCCACTTTCCATGGGGGCCCTTGTCATACTCCTCCCTGTATCTGTTGCCTGTGGCCAGATGACCTGTGGTCTTTCCATCCAGGAACCTCCCTCTGGGAAATCCCTGACCTCATGGCCCTCTGTTAGTACCTCATCTTTCTCAGCAGCATCCCTTGGAGCTATGCTTAGCTCTGCTGTGGGGCTTTTCCTTGGGCACACCCACCTGCTAAAGCATCCTAGCAGACTAGACTGTTACTATAGCAACGGCAGCAAAGACAGAGCTACACTGGGTACCTACCCAACAGCCTCCAGATTTCAAATGCTGTGGGCTGGTTATGTTTTTCAGAATTGAGCTCCTTCTCCAGAGCCAGCGGCCTGAAGTGGAGGAGATGATCCGGGACATGGGTGTGGGACAATCAGCGGTGGAGCAGCTGGCTGTGTACTGTGTGTCTCTTAAGAAGTGTGTAATCTGGCCCCTCTCAATAAGCCCAGGAACTAGGCCATAATGCCCTAGCCTTGCTGCTGCTCCCCATCTTTTGTAAAGCAGATGGAGTTAAAGGGCATGCTCTAGAGCCATGCTGCTTTAGTTTGAGCACTGACTCCCACCTCTTACCAGCTGTGTGACCTGGAGTCAGTTTCTTGGCCTCTCTGACCCTTGGCTTCCTGAATGGATATAGTAATAGACCTGCCTTGTAGGTTGTTGAGAGAATCTAGTGTGAATTATAAGTGTTGTTTTTAATGGCATTGACACAGCTTTCTGCACCCCGTCATGACATTTGGAGCCTGTTTCCCATCAGCACTGTTACTGATCCTGCCTAGCTTGGGTGAAATTTTACCCATGTTCTTCACTATTGTGGGTATGAGGTTGGCAGAAGGGGACCACTTGACTGACAGGCACAGGGGGTCCAAGATGCCTCCTATAGGACCAGGTGGTATAGGGGGCCCCCTAATGAGACTGGGGCACACCCTCTCAAGTCACCAGTGCCTGTTGGACAAGCAGGGAACCAAGTCACCTCCTTGCATTCTGTGCAGGATCCTTCATGGTGCCTCCTGGCCCCTGTTGGGCCCAGATGGCAAAGTAGGAATGAGAATGAGGTAAGGGGTTGGGTGGTGTGTTAGGTTAGTGCTATAGCTCAGTCTGGTCTGTAGTGTGTTCTGTTCTGGCATCTCTTTCCATGGCCACTTTGCAGAGAATATGAGAATCTAAAAGAGGCACGGAAGGCCTCAGGGGAGCTGACTGACAAGCTGAAGAAGGATTTGTTTTCCTCCAAAAGCAAGGTAACTTAGCGGGACAGAGGGTGAAGGGAGAGGTGGTTCTCCTTTTGTATGCTTACTCAGGTCTCCTAAGCAAAGCCATGAGACCTGATGGCACAACTAACTACATGGAGCTGTTGGATGGCTTATAGAGACTTGCTACTGATCCTTACTGAGCATTGGCTCTGACTATGTGGCTTGTCCACTTGGGGCGGCAGATCACAGAGGCATCCCCTCAGCACGTGTTTACTCATGCTCCTCTCTGATCTTCTGGTTCCTGAGTACCTCTCAGCTGGCTGGAGAGCACAGGCCTCAAATATGACAGCTTCAGAGCCCTGTTTTTATACCAGGCCCAGAATAGAAGGGTTTCTGGAACCTGGTTCAGTTTAGTACAGGTGCTTTTATTTCTGGCATGGTGCATCAATGGGCTCCAGGATATAGGAAACAGCCTTTGCTCCTGTGCAGCTCCCGATGTGCATTGCCAGACTGAGGCCTAGCCTCAGAGGGCTGGGATCTCTTCCCATACCCCCAGTCTCTTCTGGACCCTAGGCGCCCCTGACCATGCACTGAGTAACAGCAGGTAGGGGCAGGGTACATGGCTACCACTTGACTTGTCCTTTACTCCCTATACTTTCTTGTAGTTGCAGGCAGTCTACTCTGAATTGAATCAGGCCAACTTAGAACTGAGATCGGTCCAGAAGGACTTACAGAGTGCTGAAAAGGAGATCAAGGTGAGGGACATCCCTGGCTTGATGGGAGTAGGGGGTGGTTTGTGTGCCCTCCAAGAGTGGGCCTGAGGTATCTCTGCCCAGGAACCTGTGCATCAGTCAGTGATGGTGATTCTAGGCTCCTTCCCTGCATCCTCCTAGGTCAAGGTGCTCTCTTTGGTCTTGTCTACAGAGGGCAGACAGCACCGTGGGTCTTCCCTCATAGTTTGTCCTTTACCTACATCCCTGGGGTCCTCAGTCACTAGAGAAGAGGCTCTACCAGAAAGGGTTTCTAAAGTGTGGTTGGCTTGGCCTCCTGAGCCCGATGTTGGGCTTGCTCTGTTCCCAGTGGACCTATCTTTCATGCATACTGCTCATGTCCTCTACATAATATCTCTGGGCTTGATGCCTCAGCCTTGCTCTCACATTCTTCTCTTTCCTTCCCCAAGAGTCTGAAAAAGAAGTTAACGATGCTACAGGAAACCTTGAACCTGCCACCAGTGGCCAGTGAGACTGTCAATCGCCTGGTTTTAGAGAGGTGTGTTGACTCTTTGGGGTGATGCAGGGATCACAGGCTGGGAGAATTCCCCAGTAAGGGTCTTTACTCTTCCTGGCTTTGTTGGGGTGGGTTGCCTTTGTGGACTTGATATCTATGAACTGCCTACCCTGGAAGCTAGCTAAGATTTAGCTGGAAAGTGGCTTGGAGGAAAAGTCTGGACTTTGACAAGGAGAGGCCAGGAAAAACCAGAGAGAACACAGGGTTGGTTTGAGAATGGGGCTCATCCATTATGGAGTAGCTTACCATATGCATCTGTCTGCCCCAGATTCTGAAACAGATAGGAAACCACTCCAAAATAATTCCCCGGGTCTGAGAAATGTGTGCTTTAAAGCTGCCAGCAGAGGGAGCCAACAGGCAGAGATATTGGTGCCTCTGCAGGAGTGGGCATCCATTTCTGCTCCTGAGTGTTTCACAGAAGCAGACTGACTGAGGCTATCCTCAAAGCTAAACTGCCTGTGAGAGGACCCCAGCAAGGACCCAGACAGAAAACACACAATTCCTGTCAGTGACCCAGTCGTTTATTTGAATCACTTTTCAGTCTCCTTTGGAAAGTCAGTCTGTTCCCTCTTCCCCCGCATCCAATCAGTTGATAGAGCCTGTCCATCTACATAATGTCTGTGGTACCTCCCGAACTTTTCCCCTGCACCACTTTCACATGAGACTTGTGGCCTATCCCCTGTCCTGTCTGCCCAGCATATCAGTCCCAGAGAAGTTTCCCAAATGTAGTTCTGGGCATCATGCCAATTCCCCCTCTGCCGCCGCCACCACCACCACCACCAACACACACACACACACCTCCCTCCAAGTCCTCTTGGCACTGTACCTAGGGCCACTCATGGAGCCAACCTTGTGGACTGCAGAAGATCTTTAGGCTTCAGCCAGATCACATTGTCAAACCTAGAACTTTTCTTCTCTTCCTGTCTCTGTGCCTTTGTTTCAACTCTTCCACATGGAAGGGTCAGCTCCCTTAGTTTCCTCAGCCACAATAAGCTTACCCTCTGTATAGGTAGCACTTCTTATTCAGATGCTGTGCCAGGTACCATGGGCCACAGAGGCACTCTAGAGTCTTGCTGGAGCTTGATCAATCCACTATGTATACATATGACTCAGAGTAAACCAGTAGCCACATCTTAATCTGTGTCTCTCATTGCCAACTTTCTTACATGCACACCCAGTCCTTTCATCACTCTATAGGACCCAGTCCACATCTGCATGGGGGAGCAAATGCATGAGAGCTAGCTTCATCTCATTCTTCTTGTACCTTTAACTCTTTAGCCTTATTCTGCTTTTTAACTTCAGCATCTCTCTGTAGAGCTGCCTGCCTGCCCCACTTTTGAGTTGGACTGTGAAAGGGCTATGGGAGTGTTACGGGCATATGACCTGCTGTGAGGGCCAGTGTGGTTGATTTGGACAATCTAGGCTGTTTCTGTTCCTTCCTCTCTACCCCACCCTTAGCCATTCACCATGCCACCTCAGAAACCCTAGGTAACATGAGAACTCAGTCAAGAGCTTAGCAGGTAGAGTACCCAGAGATCATCTACATTGGGCAGACCTTTAGAATCCAAGCTGCCTCATGGCAGGGAGTACAAAACCTTTTCCTAGGATATCACTAAGGATTGCTGTCTATAAGCTCCTGATGATACACCATGTATTTTCCATTCCTGGTCCCTCAGAGTGTTTCTACACACTCATCCTCTGTAGGTGCCTAGGGTCTTTACATATCTGCTTTTGCTTATTTTCATTTTATTTTTATTTTTTTGAGTCAGGGGTCCTACTCTGTTGCCCAGGCTGGAGGGCAGTGGCACAATCTTGGCTCACCATAGCCGTGACCTTCTGGGCTCAGGCAATCCTCCTGCCTTAGCCTCCTGAGTAGCTAAGACTACAGACACATGTTACCATGCTTGGCTACTTTTTTGACTTTTGTAGAAACGAGGTCTCACTATGTTGTCCAGGCTGGTCTCGAATTCCTAGGCTCAAGCGATCTTCCTATATTGGCCTCCCAAAGTGCTAAGATTATAGATGTAAGCCACCATGCCCTGCCTGTTTTTGCTTATTTTCTTTATGACTCTAGGCCGCTGGAAGGCCTGGACTCCTACAGCAGGTCCTTATTGAGTGCCTGCTGCATGCCAGCCCTTCACTGTCCTTTTGGAGCATAGGTTTCAGTGGGATAGATGGGCTAAGTCTAGAGGGGGTTTTAGATGGCTAAGTCTAGAACCCACCAGCTATACACTACATCATGGAATCTGATCTGTAGCTCCCAGCTGGGATGAGCCCACTTCATTCTGAGTAAGCTTCATGCCAGGAACTGCAGCACACCTTGGTACAGGGAGGACAACTCTGATCTCCCTTGTCTTTCAAGCCAGAAAGACACTACATCTGACAAGCCTACATCTGTATAAAGCTGGGCTGGGCTTCCCATCAAGTTGCATGCAGAATGACTTAATTCCTTTTTTCCTCCAGTATTTTTCTGGGCATAAAAATTAGGGTGGTTGGGCCGGGTGTGGTGGCTTACACCTATAATCTCACCACTTTGGGAGACTGAGGTGAGGGGATTGCTTGAGCCCAGGAGTTTGAGACCAACCTGGGTAACAGTGAAACCTTGTCTCTACAAAAAAAAATTAGGGTGGTTGGCTGGGTGCAGTAGCTTATATCTATAATCCCAGCACCTTGAGGGGGCTGAGGCAGGACAATCACTTGAGCCCAGGAGTTTGAGACCAGCCTGGGCAACATAGTGAGACCCATCTCTACAAATAATTTAAAAATTTGCCACATGTGGTGGTGCATGCCTGTAGTCCTAGCTCCTCAGGAGGTAGAGACACGAGGATCACTTGAGCCAGGAGTTGAGGTTACAGTGAGCTATGATCCCACCACTTTATTCCAACAACAGAATGAGTCTCTTGAAACAAAAATTTTTGTGTGGCAGATCTGTCATTTTCAGCATTAGCCCTCTTTTCTTTTCTTTCTTTCTTTCTTTCTTTTTTTTTTTTTTTTTTTGAATTGGAGTCTCACTCTATAGCCCAGACTAGAGTGCAGTGGCCACTCCCGGCCACCGCATCCTCAACCTGCTGGGCTCCAGTGATCCTTCCACCTCAGCCTTCCAAGTAGCTGGAACTACAGGTGTACGCTACCACACCTGGCCAATTTTTGATTTATTGTAGAGATGAGGTCTCGCCAAGTTGCCCAGGCAGGTCTTGAACCCGCGGGCTCAGGCAATCCACTCACCTCAGCTTCCCAAAGCGCGGGATTACAGGCTGAGCCACCGAGCCCAGCTTTTCTTTTCTTTCTTAATTTAAACTTTAATTTTAAAGGTGTGGAGTACAATTCAGGTTTAGGTTACAAATGCTCATTATAAGTCACTCCAGTCTGGGTGACAGAGTGAGACTCCAACTCAAAAAACAAAAAACCCCACAAATGCTCATTATATACAGGTACACTTGTTAATGAGGTTTGTCCCTGCCTCCCCAGGCAGATTTCCACTACTGCCAATCCCGCTTCCCCACTCCCCTCCCAGCAGTTTCCCACTACTGCTAATCCCTTTCTTTTTGGTTTTTTTTAATTGGGTGTCTCACTCTGTTGCCCAGGCTGGAGTGCAGTGGCATGCTCTTGGCCACCACAGCCTTGACCTGCTGGGTTCAAGCAATCCTTCCGCCTCAGCCTTCCAAGTACCTGGAAGCGCAGGTATGTGCCACCATGCCCATCTGATTTTTTGATTTCTTGTAGAGACAAGGTCTTGCCATGTTACTTGGGCTTGTCTTGAACCCCTGAGCTCAGGTAATCCTCTCACCTCTGCCTCCCAAAGTCCTGGGATTACAGGTGTAAGCCACTGTACCTGGCTGAGCTGAGTATTCTTAAAGGAAAAGGGCTAGTGGCAGTGGCCAAGTCTCCACAGGACTTCATAGGCCAGCCTTGTAGTGTGCAGTTTATCCTATGGACAGCAGAAGCTGTTGGGGATACCTAAGGAACATTACTGTGGCGGGACTGGTATGTGCCTGTGATTTTCATCCCATCACCCATTGATGATTCCTCAAACCTGCATTTCAGCCTAGGGGCTACCAGGTCACCAGTTTGATGGCTGCCCTCTTAGACATTTGCTTCATTACAAATGAAGACCCTATGAAACCATAGTGCAGGGAAATTTGGGGAGTTTTAATTTTAGTTTCTTGATACTTTGGTCATTCTATAATTTTTAAAATATAACTCCTTGGAGTGCACTGAAGATATATATTCAGGGCAGTTCACAGAGATACGTGTTATTCCTCTTGCCATCCTGGAGGAATTGAGTGCAGTGGCACAATCATAGCTCATTGTAACCTCGAACTTCTAGGCTCAAGCAATCCTCCTGCCTCAGCCTCCTTAGTAGCTAGATGCCTGTCACTATGCCTGACTAATTAAAAAAAAAAAGTTTATTTTTTGTAGAGACAGGGTCTTGCAACATTACCCAGGCTGATCTCAAATTCCTGGCCTCAAGCAATTCTCTGGCCTCAGCCTCTCAAAACACTGGGATTACAGGCATGTCCCACTGCATCAGCCCAAAATTTCTTTTTTATTTTTTGAACTGAAGTCTCACTCTGTTGGCCAGGCTGGAGTGCAGTGGCACACTTACGGCCACCCCTGCGTCAACCTGCTGACTCCAGCGTCAACCTGCTGGGCTCCAGCGATCCTTCTGCCTCAGCCTGCCAGGTAGCCAGAACTACAGACGCGCACTACCATGCCTGGCTAATTTTTCATTTATTGTAGAGATAAGGTCTTGCCATGTTGCCCAGGCTGTTCACGAATCCACGGGCTCAGGCAATCCACTTGTCTTGGCCTCTCAAAGTGCTGGGATTACAGACTGAACCATCAAGCCTGGCCAAAATTTTCTAATTTTTTTTTTTTTTTTTTGAGTTGGAGTCTCACTCTGTCACCCAGACTGGAGTGCCGTGGCCGCTCCTGGCCACCGCAGCCTCAACCTGCTGGGCTCCAGCAATCCTTCCACCTCAGCCTTCCATGTAGCTGGAACTACAGGTGTATGCTACCACGCCCAGCTAATTTTAGTTTTCTAATTTTTAATAACTTTGACTCCAGCAATAATTTTTATTGTGGTAAAATATGCATAACATAAAATTCACTATTTTAAAGGCCAAGTACAGTGGCTCACACCTATAATCCCAGAGATTTGGGAAACCGAGGCAAGAGGATTGCTTGAGCCCAGGAGTTCAAGACCAGTCTAGGCAACACAGCAAGACCTTATCTCTACAAAAAAATCAAAGAAATTAGTGGTGGTACATGCCTATAGTCCCAGTTACTGGGGAGGCTAAGGCAGGAGGATCACTTGAGCCTGGGAGTTTGAGGCTGTGGTGAGCCATGATCATGTCACTGCACTTCAGTCTGATAGAATGAGACCCCAACTCAAAAAATAAATTCACCATTTCGACCCTTTACAGTTCAGTGTTTTTTTTTTATTATTTTTTTAGTCAGAATCTTACTCTGTGCCTAAACTGGAGTGCAGGGGCATGTTCATAACCACCGCAGCCTAGACCTGCTGGGCTCACGCAATCCTTCCACCTCAGTCTTACAAGTAACTGGAACTACAGGTGTGTACTACCATGTCTGGCTAATTTTTTAAATTTACTGTAGAGACGAGGTCTCGCCAAGTTGCCCAGGCTGGTCTTGAACTCTTGGGCTCAGGCAATCTTATCTCTGCCTCTCAAAGTGCTGGTATTACAGGCATGAGCCATCGCGCCTAGCTTTCATTGGTGTTAAGCATATTTGCATTACTATGCAATCATTACCATAATCTATCTTCTAAACTTTTTCATTTTCCCAAACTGAAACACTGTACCCATTAAGCAATAATTCCCCATTTTTCTCTCTTCTTGGCCTCTGCAACCACCATTCTACTTTATGTCTTTATTAATTTGACTACTCTAAGACCCTCAGGTAAGTGGAATCATACAATATCTGTCTTTTTGAGACTGCTTATTTCATTCAGCATAATATCTTCAAGGTTCATCCATGTTGTAGTATGTGTGAGAATTTTCTTCTTTTTAAGGCTGAATCAGTAATCCTATTTTAAATCTGCAAGCATTCTTTCTTGGTCTTTGAGTATGTTTTTTGCAAAACATGCTGTTCTCCTTGTTGTTGTTGTTGCTGGGGTCTCTCTCTGTTGCCCAGCCTAGGGTGCAGTGGCATGATCACAGCTCACTGTAGACTTGAATTTGTGGGCTCAGGCAAGCTTCCACCTCAGTCTCTTGAGTAGCTGGAACTACAGGCATGTGCCACCATGCCTCACTATTTTTTTTTTTTGGTAGAGATGAGATCTTGCTGTGTTGCCCAGGCTGGTCTCAAACTCCTAGACTCAAGCAATTATCTTGCCTTGGCCTCCCAAAGTGCTAGGATTACAGGCATAACTTACTGCGCTCAGCAGCTATACTTGTTTTATGGTCTCATGTGTCTGTTTGTCTCAGACTCAGTGTTTGTGCATTATGACCTTTCTCTTGGGCTCCCCCTCCCATGTCTGGTGGTCTTTGGCTGCCTGGGAATCCAACCTATGTGGGCAGGGTTTGGGGGGAGTATGTAGTAAGCTGGAGACATACCAAGCCTTTTCTAAACCTAGGATGCAGAAGGCTTTACGGTTGGGTCCAACATTGTCTGTCCTAGTGGTCACTCTAGATGGTTTGCTTAGTGTCTTTGGGGAAAGTTCTTCCATTTCCTGACCCAGGGTAGCAGCCTGACTGCCTAGAGTTCTACCAGTGCAGATGTAGGATGGGGTGGAGCCAAGCTCATACTATCCATTAGTGCCCCAGTACTGCAAGGTCCTCCCTTGCCTTCACATACCCTTCTTTGTGGGTTCTGGCTGCTGTGTCAGTCTCCTGTCTCCCGACCATGCTCTCTCTCCCAGAATTTTATGGAAATCTCTGGGTGCTGATGGTGGTTGTCCATTCCATTTGTTGCAATAGGATTATCCTTCAGCTGCCATTTTAGGGAGGTCTCAGGAGGTAGGCACCAACCCCAACTGCAGAGGGGATATTAGGAAGACGTCTCTCATGGGCCTGAAAGACCCCTGGCTCCTGGACTGGAGAGAATTAGGGAGACCTTTGCTTAGGATAAGGCTACCAGAAGCTATGAGTTCATGGAGGAGATGTTAACTGACCATATGCCACAGAGGCGATGGGTCTGTCCACAGCTTTGGCTCTGTTTTGGAAAGGGGAGCTTTGAATGTTTTTCCCTCACCTCTTGAGGCCTCTGGCATGCAACCCTATAAGTTGACCACAGGCAGATATCCCAAGGGTGATGGTATCTACCACCCAGGAGGGCCTCAAGCCAGACCCTCAACCAGTAGGTGAAGGGATACTGAGCCCTGGGTTCTTCCCCTTATAGGAGAAACAGAAGGTGGAAAGGAAAGAAAGACCCCTGGCGAAAAGGGAAACAGACTTCAAGCTCATAAAGGAAGAATGATATACGAGGAACAGTCTGAGAGAGCAAGAAATATATGAGCCCGATGTGGGTGTGGGGAGTGAAGGAGACACTGTAAGAACATCCTAAGTCTTGAGTTTAGCGTTGTAGATGTCCAGGAGGTGCAAGTAAAGAAGACTGGCTGGCTTGAGCCAAGGCTGAGCATGTGCCTTGTGCATTACTGGGCAAGACCTGAGGGATGGCAGTAGGAAGTCCTGTCTGAGTCACCTGGAGGGTAAAGTTTGTAACATCCATCAGACCCAGCCTGCCTCTTGAGTTTCCCTTTCCTACTTTGAGCCTGGACTTGCTGGGTTGGTAAATGGTGGCAGAATAATAGATACTACAAAAAAGTTGGCATGAGTGATCCTGGTTGGTGCTTAATGCCGTGATTCCCAGAGGGAGAAGCAAAGCAACCAGCATGGAGATGGTTTGAGGTGGGTTTGTGCAGCCTTCATTTCCACTTGCAGGCAAAAAGGAAAATAGTCTCCAGGGATCTGGACAGGGAAAGGAGGAAATAGTCCAGGTTTCCTAGATTGCTTACCCACACAGATCATTGCAGGTAGTTCTCGTTCCTCTGATCTGTACACTCCAGCAGACGTGGGACTATAGTGAAGCCCTGAAAGTTTCCTGAGGAAAGGAGAGAGGCTGTCCTTGGAACTACCCATCTCTCCCCAGGGCTCTTCTTGGACCACAGGAGCTGGGGAGCCCTGCCAGGTCTAAGTGCTAGAAGAATTCTGACTATGGTTTTTTGTTTTGTTTTGTTTTGTTTTTTGAGTTGGAGTCTCACTCTGTCACTCAGACTGGAGTGCAGTGGCTGCTTCCGGCTACTGCAGCCTCTACATGCTGGGCTCCGGTGATCCTTCTGCCTTAGCCTTCCAAGTAGTGGAACTACAGGCGCATGCTACCATGCCTGGCTAATTTTTTATTTATTGTAGAGATGCTATCTCGTCAGGTTGCCCAGGCGGGTCTCGAACCCACAGGCTCAGGCAATCCACTCACCTCTGCCCCCAAAGTGCTGGGATTACAGGCTGAGCCACTGACCCCGGCCTACAGTTTTTTTTTATTAGAATAAAACTAAACACCCCCATTATAAAAGTAAAAACACACTCATTGAAAACTTGGAAAATATGGAGTTATCATAGAGGTAGTTGGTGTTGACAGGTGGAATAGTTCCTTCTAGTCCTTTTGCTGCATCTAGGAGTTAGGACTGGAGGCATGCACCAAATCATGATTGCATTGACGGAGTTTTGTATGCTTTTTTCAATTTAGCTTATGAACACATTTCTGTGTTATTAAGTTGACTCTCTAGAAATACTACTTTAATGCCTACATCATATTTAAGCTATGGAAGCGCCAGCCCCTAGGGGAGTAATTTTGATGGTTTTTAATTTTGTACCATTTGCTGTGTAAGTAGCAAAGGCACAGGAGGAGGGAGGGAGAACTTCCCTTTACTTCAATCTGTGATGACATCTCTGACTGGCCCTTTGCACCACATTCTGAAAATGAGGCCACATGGTCAAAGGACAGTAAACTTTTCTTTATACATTTGGGTTTTGCCTGGGATTTTGCTTGCTTTCTTTCTTGTCTTACAGACTTTCACTGGTTGCATGACCATGCAAAGAAGTGAGTCAAGTTGTTTATCCTGTAGAGAGTAGGGCTTTCTTGAGGGTGGCCCTGAGTCACGAGTGGGCTCCAGGTCCCTAGAGCAGAGCTGTCTCTGATGCTTGAGGGGCTGTTGTCCTTCTGGGCTGCCACAGTGGTCCCAAGTAACAAGATCATCTTTGCCTTCAGCCCAGCTCCTGTGGAGATGCTGAAGCTCCGCCGGCCATCATTCAGTGATGATATTGACCTCAATGCTACCTTTGAGGCAGATACGCCCCCAGCCTGGCCCTCCAGGTCCCAGCATGACCACTCCAAGAAACTCTGCCTGGAGAAGACACAGTGAGTGATTGTCCCTGACACTGTCCATGGCCTGGAAAAGGGATGACTAAGGCAGCTCGGCAGACCCTGCACTGATAGCTCTGAGTGACTGATGGGGCAGTGAGGGGTTGGCCATGGTTTTGATTCAACCACCTCTTCTCCCCTCTCCTGAGCACTCACTCTGTGCAAAGCCCTTCTTTTGCTTGTCTCGTTAATTCTCACCATCACTCTTCGGGGCAAAAGTGTTGGAAATGAGTTAGAGAGAATGCAGGGGTCCCAATAGGGATGAATCCGGGCTGTGGTGTTGGGGAGGGTTCTGCCCAACAGTCCTGAGCCAGGGACTTTGAACTTCCTCTTCCATTGTGTGCCTCTGAGGCTCATGCTTGAGGCCGGACCATCTCAAACCACCCAAGAGGGTAACCCACAGGGGCAGGCATGAGGAGCTGTCTGGAACTACAATGGGAACCTGCACTAGGGGTGCAGTGGGACTGGGAAAAGGGAGGATATCTCCTTGGCCAGGCTTGCCAAGTGTGATTCACTGTAAACTCAAAGACTATGCTTATTCGTACACGTAGGTATTGCTGCTCAAGTAAGGGAGGTCAGAGGCTCAGCAGTTTTCCACTTAATCAAAGACTTTGGTCATAAGAGAAAGAAACTGAGATGTTACACAATGGAGATAGAAGAGAGCAAGCGCGCAAGCCAGTCGGACTAGCCAGTCCTCCCAAACCATAGAGGATATTACCCCTGCTATTCAGGGCCAGGGCTGGCAGTGATGAGAAACAAACCCCCGAGCATGTGGGCTGCAGTCAGGGGTCTGTCAGTGCCTACTGCATACTCTGGCTTCCTCCCATTGCTTTCTCTTCAGCTATAAAAGTTGAAGGTGGGTACCTGGGGTCTTCAAGCTGCCAGGCCTTTCAGACACTTTCACCATCTTCAGGACCTATGAGGGAAGTAAGGGAGCCCAGGATGCCCCTAACTCAGCTCAGCCTCCCCAGAGCCAGACTCACAACAACTGAAGTGTTTTCCCTTGTCATCATATGATCTCACCACAGGCCATGAGGGCAAGAGCCAAGGAATCAAGAGTCAGTAGTCCCTAACCCAACTCCTGTCCTTATGGCTTGAGAAACCAGAGTCAGCCTTAGATCACCATCCTCCCACCCACCTGGGAAAATACCAGGAGAGAGTATCCAGCTGCTCAGGTCCCCAGGAATTGGATGGAAACAGTGTCCAACTGTGGGACTGGGAGTGGTAGGCCAGGGCCTGGGACCATGCTATATTCTGCCCCAGACCTTTCTTGTACAAGGAAGATGGCCTAACCTTATGTTCTTTTTTTTTTTTTTTTTTTTTGAGTCAAAGTCTCACTCTGTCACCCAGGCTGTAGTGCAGTGGCACACTCACGGCTACTATAGCCTTGATCTCCTGGGCTCAGGCGATCCTTCCTCCTCAGCCTTCCAAGTGGCTGGGAATATAGGTGTGTGCCACCATGCCCAGCTAATTTTTAAATTTTATTATAGACACGAGATCTCGCTATATTGCCCAGACTGGTCTTAAACTCCTGGGCTCAGGCCATCCTCTGCCTTTGGCCGCCCAAAGTGCTGGGATTATAGGCATGAGCCACCACTCCTGGCCTAACTCCATGTTCTGAGAGTACTTTATGGGCTACCTTACAGAGAGACTAATTTACTGAGGGTTTTGTAGAGGTAGTGCCCCTTTCTTGGCAGACAGGACTAAGCTAGGCCTGAGCTTATGAGATACCTTTTGTTTGGGCATGACTGGCTCTCCTTCTGTGGGTGGTGGAATGATTGGATTCCCAGCCCCATGTGGAGCCATGGTACATGGTAAGGTGCCCAAGGACTTAAGGAGCAATGAAATTTGGCCCTAAGTGGAAGTCACAAGATTGGGACATGGTCCAGTCTTCCCTATCTCTACCACCCTGCTGGCTGTGACTGTCTAGCTATTAACAGCTGTACTGGGGTGGGGATCACTGAGGTGCCTTGCCCAGAACACAGACATGACAGCAGCCATACCATATGGTGACTCCAAGGGGCATGTGCTAAGCCTTGTTCACTTGCCCCTCATGTCTTGCTTACCTACCTTTTGCCTTCTGCCTCACTCTTGTAGCTCTCCTGTTCAGAACATCCCCAAGAAGATACCCAAAGGTACCAAGCAGGTAAGGACTTCCAGAAGAAGCTTGGGTAGCTATCCTTGCCAGGACTGGCTTGAGGCTGGACTTCTGGGAGGGCAAGGTCTTGCCAGAGCCATTAGTCCAGACCCAGAACTAAGGTACTGCAGAGCCACCCTTGGGACTATACTCATTATCCTTTCTGCCTCCTAGTGAGGCATCAGAGATCCTGATCTCCCACCACCACTATCCTCCTTCCTTTGCTGATATCCGGCTCATCACATCCAGCTCTGGGTCTCCCCTGCAGGAGTCCCAACTGTCTCTGGGTGGCCAGCGCTGTGTAGGAGAGCCAGATGAGGAACTGGCTGGTGCTTTCCCTGTTTTCATCCGGAATGCCATCCTGGGCCAGAAACAGCTCAAGAGGGCCAGGGCAGAGTCTTGTCACAGCAAAGATGTGGTGAGTATGACTTCCCACTGTGGTAGATGTTCACCTTCTCAGGAATGGGGCTGGGTAGCCAGCTCCCTGGCCTATTAACCTGGCCCACTCATCTCTTCCTTCTGCCCTAGGTAAGAACAGGCTTCGATGGGCTCGGTGGCCGTACAAAATTCATCCAGCCTGTATCCTTGTTCTGTGGTAATAGACTGAGCTGAGCATACTCCACCTTACCCCAGCATCCAGCTTGCCAGTGCCTGCAACCTCAGGTATGCAGAGCCAGGTCTCACTCAGTGTAGCAGGGTGGCCACCCCCAGCTCTGAGCCTTTCCTGCCCTGCCTTCCAGTCCTTTCTCCAAGCTGCTTCCTTGACATCTCCTCCAGACTGACACAGCCATGATCCGCCCACTGCCCATTAAGGTCAAGGCTAAGGCTAAACAGAGAGTAGGGGTGAAGGCAATACCCTCTCTTTCCCAGGCCACGCTGGACAACACCTTCCTGAAGGAGTGAGGACAGTGAGGGGAACCTCTCCAAACTTATTCTGATTCAGGGACTGCCCAGTTCTCAAATCATTTTTAAAAAAACAACAACAGTGAGTCTGAGCAGTGACCAGATACATACCTCCAACTTGTAGGCCAAGGGCTGGCCAGGTAGGAGGTTTTTGGAGGATAGCCCCTCTTTCAGAATCAGCTCTAGGAGCAAGGACAGACAAGCGAGTGAGAGCGAGTATGACAGAGACTGTGCTCTTCCTGCCCTCACCCTGCTTCACCCCCACAACATTGGGCCTGCCTTTGAGAGCTAACCTGACCACACCATCAGTCCTGTCAGCGGGGCCTGCTTCTGGTTCAGGGTCCTATTTATAGCCACGAGCAAATGTGGCCATGCTCCTTCTGGTCCTGGAGACCAGGGTCACTTGTTTACTGTATCTATGGGCCAAAGTGCTTGAGGCTTTTCAGGTAGTCTCAACCTGCTGCTAGGCATGGCCTGGGCCATGCAGAGTGGAGAATGGGGGGTGATGGTACAGAGAGGATGTGGGGAATATTTCTTTGTAAAATAAAAAAGTAGAATCTCTGCTTCTTGGTTCTGAGTGTAAATTCGCACCAACACTTTGGAAAATTGTTTGACATGACTTAAGCAAGAACATCACCTAGCTTCGGTCCCATCAGTTTCATCTCTAGGCATGTGCCCTCTCACAGGACACAGGTAGACTCTGCAAGAATGAGATCACTGCTGCTTTTCCACAGTCTCTATACTAGGCACAAACTAAAGGTTATAGGCAGGAAAGTGAATTGGTAAACTGAGATCTCTTCCTACAGGGAACTCACAGCAAATAACCAGTGACCACTACCCTTCCTTCCTCCCCACCTCTAAACACTACCTGCCGGATTGCTAGCCTTTGTTCTTGGCTACAAGGGCATTTTTTCCTAAAGTACTTCTCTTCTTGACTCCTAGCCTGGGTGAAACTCCCGAAACTTTTCTCTCATTATTGGACAGGGGTTTACCTGTTTCCCCAGGGCCCAGAATGGGCCGGCAAAGGAATGAGTGAATACAACAGGTTCAGAGTGCCCAGCTGCCCCATATCTAGAGGAGTGTGGGGCTTCATGGAAAGAAGGTGACACTTTTGGTTATATGTGTTTGAGTTTTGGGAGCTGACTTGAGCCAAGACAGTTTAGCGAAGGAAGGTGCAACATCAGGTTTAGAGTATAGGAGCTGACTGCTAGCACCTTCCTTACCAGCTAAGTGATCTTAGGTAAACTGCCTAATTTCTCTGTGCTTGGCTTCTTAATTTGTAAAGTGGGGCTAAAAAACACCAAGCTCCCAGTTGTGGGTATCTAATGAGTCAATATATAGGTTAAGAACTTATAGCAAGCCGGGCTCGGTGGCTCAGCCTGTAATCCCACGCCTTGGGAAGCTGAGGTGAGTGGATTGCCTGAGTCCACGGGTTCGAGACCCGCCTGGGCAACTTGGTGAGATCTCATCTCTACAATGAATCAAAAAAATTAGCTGGGTGTGGTAGTGCGCGCCTATAGTTCCAGCTACTTGGAAGGCTGAGGCGGAAGGATTGCTGGAGCCCAGCAGGTAGAGGTTGCGGTGGCCTGGAGCGGCCACTGCACTCCAGTCTGGGTGACAGAGTGAGACTCCAATTCAAAAACAACAAAAAAAGAAAGAACTTATAGCAACTAAATGAAATAAGTCAGACACAAAAGGACACCTATTAGATAATTCCACTTATATGAGATATCTAGAACGGACAAGTTCATAGAGACAGAAATAGAATAGAGGGTTACCATGGGCTAGAGAAAAAAGAAAATGTGGAGTTGTTGCTTAATGGTCAGAGTATCTGTCAGGGGTGATAAAAAGAATTGTGAACAGATAGGAGTGATGGCTACCAATAAAAGAACATATGGGGCCGGGGGTACTAAGTTTAGTAAAAACTTAGTGACCACACACAATAAGGGACACACACTTTGCAAAAATAGAAAAAATCACAAATAGATGGCTTCAGCCCTCAAACCTGTAATTCCAGCACTTTGGGAGGCCAAGGCGAGAGGATTGCTTGAGCCCAGGGGTTCAAGACCAGCCTGGGCAACTTGTTGAGACCTTCTCTCTACAATATATCAGAAAATTAGCCAGGCATGGTAGCACGCACCTGTAGTTCCAGCTACTTGGAAGACTGAGGCAGAAGGATTACCTGAGCATGCCACTGCACTCCAGCCTGGGCGACAGAGTGAGACTTACTCAAACAAACAAAAAAAAGATGACCCAAGTATATAGAAAGACATTCTGTGTTCTTAGATTGGAAGACTTTATATTGTTAAGATGGCAATACTCCCCAAAGCATTCTACAAATTCAATACATTTCCTATCAGAATTCCAATGGCCTTTTTTCTGCAGAAATTGAAAAGCTGGTCCTCAAATTATGTGTCATTGCAAGAGGCCCCAAATAGCCAAAGCAATTTTTTTTAATGGAGAAAAGAAAAAGTTATTTCCAATTTAAAAACTTAGTAAAAAGCTATAGTAATCAAAACAATGTGGAGAGCAGTCATGCATAATGGTGGAGTTGGAAGCTCTAGGGGTTGGTTGTTGGATCAAAGCAATCACTGAGCTAGAAAGAATAGTGATTGTAATCAACTGTTTCAGAACTCTGGAACCTGTGACTAGACATTTAACAACAGGGATTGCTGGGTGAAGAGAGGGGCTGCTATTTTTTGGTAAAAGAGTGGTGTGAATCAAGCAGCCACTACTTCATTCCTTAGCCCCACCATGTTTGTGGGGCTAGCAGCCCCAGTTGCTTTTTGGTTTTTTTTTTGAGTTGGAGTCTCACTCTGTCGCCCAGACTGGAGTACAGTGGCTGCTCCCGGCCACTGCAGCCTCGACCTGCTGCAGCCCCAGTTTTGAAAGCAGGAACTGGTTCCAAGGCAGGCAGTGGAGACCTTGCCCTCCAAAAACGAGATTGTGTGCTTTGGTGGATCTGTAGGTACTCTGAGATGTTTATCTTGGTTTAAGCTCTCTTGGATGCAATTTTTGCACTAACCACCACCACCAGCATCACCCTCTCACCCCAGCCCTGCCTAGGCAATATCTCTCAGAAGATTTAAAGGACCTATGCCCTTTTTTTGGTCAGAAAAATCTTCGTCGGTCACTAGCTGACTGCAGAGATAACAGAAACCGTAGTGACCACACACAATAAGGGACACACACTTTGCAAAAATAGAAAAAATCACAAATAGATGGCTTCAGCCCTCAAGCAAAAATTTAGCAATCCCTGATAAGTGGGAGAATAAGATTTCCAGAGTTACTATAATAATGCCTTAAACTAGCCAGGCTCGGTGGCTCAGCCTGTAATCCCGCGCCTTTGGGAGGCTGAGGTGAGTAGATTGCCTGAGCCCGCAGGTTCGAGACCCACCTGGGCAGCAACACCTCATCTCTACAATAAATAAAAAAATCAGCCGGGCATGGTAACGCATGCCTGTAATTCCGGCTACTTGGAAGCCTGAGGCGGAAGGATGGCTGGAGCCCAGCAGGATGTGGCTGCAGTGGCTGGTAGCGTGCCACTGTACTCCAGTCTGGGTGACAGAGTGAGACACCAACTCAAAAACAACCACAACAAAAAAAACCAACAAGCTCTCATAGGAACTAATAGAGAGAACTCACTTATCCCCTCCACCAGGGAGGGCATTAATAAAGACAATAATAACGTATTCATGAGGCCAGGCATAGTGCTCATATCTAGTCCCAGTGCTATAGGAGGCCAAAGCAGGAGCACCATCTGGGCAAAAGGAGCTAGAGACCAGCCTGAGCAGCATAGCCAGGCCACATCTCTACAAAAAAATTAAAAATTAGCTGCATGTGGTAGCTCAACCGTGTAGTCCCAGCTACTTGGTAGGTGGAGGTTGAGGTGGAAGGATCGCTTCAGCCTAGGAGTTCGAGGCTGCAGTGAGCTGTCATTGCACCACTGCACTCCAGTTTGGGGAACAGAGTAGAACCCTGTCTCTAAAATATACAGGGGGTGCCAAAAAAAATGTATACACATTTTAAGTAAGATGTTCACTCAAAGGATGGCATTAATCAAATGAATGCTGGCATCACCATTTGACAGGCAGAATCGTCAAAGAAAATGGCAGAAGCATGGCTGAGGGAATGTCATACTGCACATTACTATCACAATTTAATTCAACTTCATATAGTAATACATAGATAACAACTCTTAAAATGTATACACATTTTTAAAAAGGAAAAACTGTATTGAAATTATAATAATATATACCGACAACAAAAGATGAATACAAGTCACATTTGACTTCTCCAATTACAAGAGGTACACATTGTTTGGTAGACTTCTGTGGTGAGTGTGTAAACTCTTCCAACACCATAGCAGAAGAAGCAGAACTTGCTGTGCAAGGCCTTCCAGAGGACTTCCTTGTGTACATCACACACAGTGCCATATGTCTCAAACTTATTGTGAAGGCTTGCAATCATTAGGCATGTTGGAGGTTCTGTTGCGTATTCATGCTTCCACTGTCATTGTACTTTCACAACATTCTCAGACTTCAAATACCACTTCAAAATGTTCTCGTGCTCCTCGAACAACAGTGCTTCTGCCATTTTCTTTGACTGTCCTGCTTGTCGCATGGTGACGCTAGCATTCCTTTGATTAAAGTTATCTTTTGAGCAAAAGTCATACTATACATTGCTACTATAATTCAATTCAACTTCAAAAAATAATACATAGGTAACACCACTTAAAATGTGTATACAAGCTGAGCTCGGTGGCTCAGCCTGTAATCCCGCACCTTTGGGAGGCTGAGGTGAGTGGACTGCCTGAGCCCGCGGGTTTGAGACCCACCTGGGCAACTTGGCGAGACCTCATCTCTACAATAAATCAAAAAATTAACCGGGCGTGGTAGTGCGCACCTGTAGTTCCAGCTACTTGGAAGGCTGAGGCGGAAGGATCGCCAGAGCCCAGCAGGTTGAGGCTGCAGTGACCGGGAGCGGCCACTGCACTCCAGT